GGGTGGCCCCCAGCCCTCCTTCCATCCCCACTCCCCACCATGTTCCCCCTACCCCTGGGTGCAGGGTGAGGTGGCAGCATGCCGCTTGGCCTGCTAGGGCTCACTGCAGGTTGTGAGGCTGGCCAAGGTGCCCCGGGGCACAAAGTCAGTCCCAAGCCTGTACTGCCTCCTCCCAGCCCCGTGAGTCCTGCTGGGTCTTTGTCTATGGATGCCCTGTTTTGGGGGGTGACCGGAGAGGCAGGCGGAAATGCAGCAAGTGGAGGCCCGGAAGGCAGGAGGAAGTCACAGCTGTCCTGGGCAGAGGCCCTGGATGGTCAGTGTGGAGGCTGTTGGTGTCTTTGGGGGCCCTGGGAACTCAAGGGGCCGTGAGGGCCTCCCCGGAGCCCCTGGGGCTTCCAGCGCAGTGGCTGCCCCTGCCACCTGTGCCCAGCCAGGGCCCTGGCCCTGCTGTGGGAAGGAAGCGGGGTCTGTGGCAGCTGGCCCGGCGGGCTGCGTGTGCCCTGACTGCGGGTGGCCTGCCTGCGGTGCTCCCCATGTTGTGGAGACTGTGGGTCGGCCAGGGTGGGGTGGGGGCATTGTGCCCTACCCTGAGCCTGAGCCTGGCTGAGGGAGTCCTGCCCCTTTTCCTGGGGGGCTGTGGGCCTTGTGCAGGGCGGGGGGGGGCTGCTCTTGAGGCCCCCAGTGCAGTCCTCTTCCCCCATTGTGGCCCTTCTGGACCGCTTGTCCCCACTTGGTACCTCAGTGGAACTCTGGGGTGTCTGGAGCCAGGGCCAGGCCAGGCCTTTCTGCCTGGGATACTCAGGGCTGCCTGTCCCTGCTGCCTCTGCCCACTTGGGTCCCATGACCCCTCGTCAGCAGGATCGAGGGCCATTTGCTTGTGAGGCTCAGGGCAGGGCGCAGAGGAGCGGCTCAGAATTAGTTCCCCATTTGTCTGTGTGGGCAGCGGCAGCCCTGTCCGTCTCCGTCCCTCCGGAGGAAGAGCTGGAGCCTGTCTTGGCTGACTTGAGCTTTTGGGGGGTTGGCTAGAGGAGGAGAGGCGCTGGGGACAGGCTAGCTTTGGGGCAGGGTCCCTCTGCTGTAGCAGCAGCTGTAGCATTTTCCTGACTTCAGAGTGAGCTAGAGGCCACAGTGGTTTCTCACATCAAAAGCTATCCACTCTTGCGAGGTGGAGGAGGTGGGCCCTGGTGGCGAGACTGGAAATCGCCCTGCCTGGGGAAGGGCTCTGTGTAGAGTTTGGGGCATTGAGAATTGTGGGCAAAGGATTTTGGGGTGCTCATGGCAAAGGTGTTGACAGGTCCCCTCACTATCCCTGGGCCCACGAAGCTGGGGCCGCTTGCAGCAGGCAGCTTGTCCTGACGGGCTCTGGCGGCGGGTCACAGCTCGTTGTTGGCAGATCTGAGCCTTGACGAGCGACTGCAAGGGGCCCCCATGCCCCTCCCACCGGTGCTGTGGACTTGGCCCTCACTGAGAAGTGATTCCACGTGGGCAGTGGCCCGGGGCAGCCCTCAGTGGACAGACTGGCACTCGTGACCCAGCTGCCTAGCTCAGCTGTGGCGGGTGGAAACGAGGGCTTGAACCAGGAACTTCATGGGTTTGGAGACAAAGGCAGGGGTTGGCGCATGGCCTGGTGGCTGGGGGTAGTCAGCTAGTTTTGGCCATGGCTCTGTGTTGCTTTTTATCTTTTGTGGTGGTTTTTTGTTGGTGGTGCTGGAGATGGAAGCCAGGGCCTCCTGCATGCTAGGCCAGCATTCTCCTTAGGAGTCCGTGCCTCAGGCCTGTTTTTTCTTTTCTTTGTTCTTTCTTTCTCTTTTTTTTGCCAGTCTTGGGGCTTGAACTTGGGGCCAGGGCACTGTCCCTGAGCTTCTTTTGCTCTACCATTTGAGCCACAGTGCCACTTCTGGCTTTTTCTGCGCATGTGGTACTGAGGAATTGAACCAGAGCTTCATATATGGTAGGCAAGCACTCTACCACTAAGCCACATTTCCAGCCCCTCATTTATTTTTATTTATTTACTTATTTAGCCGGTAGTGGGTCTTGAACTCTGGGCCTGGGTGCTGTCCGTCAGCTCTTCAGCTCAAGGCTAGCGCTCTACCACTTGAGCCACAGCACCACTTCTGGTTTTCTGAATGGTTTATTGGAGATGAGAGTCATATGGATTTTTGTGCCCAGTCTGGCTTTGAATCATGATCCTCAGATTTCAGCCTCCTGAGTAGTTAGGATTACAGGATGAGTCACCAGCGTCTGCCGCCCTCATTTTTTTTTTTGAGGTGAGGTTTCACTGTAGCCCAGCATGGCCTGGGACATGTGAGCTTAGCTTTTGGAATGCTGGGATTACAGGCATGTACCGCCACTCTGGATTCTCTTCTGAAGTTCTAATTGCAGTTCCCAGAGTCTGAGAGCAAATGGGGGGATTGGGCCTTGAGCTGAACAGAAACAGCGGTGGTGGTGGTGGTGGTGGTAGTGACCTGAATGGAGAATTAGGGAGGAGCTGGGGAATGGGGATGTTGAATGGCAGAGGCCAGCAGCCACCTGCAGGCAGGATACCAGTGTAACAAGACGCAGACAGCGGGGCTTCTGCAGCCCTCCTGGGCACAGAGCCCCGCCGGCCCAGCTGACACAGCTCCTGCTGCCCGGGCCCCCAGGGAGCAGCCTGGGAGGCAGGAGGTGGCACAGACTGGCAGGGTGCTGGGCCGGGCACGCCAGGGCCTCTTCCGAGGGAAGGCTTTTCTCTGGAACGTTCGCAGCTGGCTCCTCTGGACAGACAGCGCGTAACTGGAACATGCGGTGTTTCTGGGAATTTCTGCAGCAGGGGCGGGAGGTGCAGAAGCTCCGTGTGCCAGCGCCACCTGCCTCTGGCACACAGGCCCTGCCCCGCCGCGCCTGGTGGCCTCAGGTGTATGTGGCTGGGTGGGGGGCGTCCTGCCATCTGGGCTGGCAGCATGACCGTGGGAAGGCCACAGGAGCCTGTCCCAGCTGCTGGGACAGAGTGGGGGGGGGTGTGGGCACCTTGTTCTAGGAGCTGCTGGGGCAGACTGCAGACAGCCAGCTGCCTTCCTCCAGGCCCACACTCAGGGCTGTGTCTGGGGAGTGTATTCACGACACTAAGGTGACAGCTTCGTGGGCCACTGTCCCTGCGCACCCCCTCCAGGACCAGCTCAGCTGTCACCTGGTAGCCCGGCATTCCTTCTCAGCCCTGGCTTCTTGGCTGGCTCTCCAGGGTCTTGGTCTCGCCCAGGCCTGGGCCTGAGAACCTAAAGGGGCCAATGCTCTCTTGGGTCTTATAGTCAGCTCTGAATCTAGAGCTTTCCAGAAGTAGCCTAAGGAGTGGAGCATTGGGCTCCTGTGGGTGTGGCAACGCACGCCTGTAAGCCCAACACTGGGGAGGCTGCAAGTTCAGAGTCAGGGCCTCACCTCAGGCATGATCCCCCTCCCACCCCCCACTTCTGTGCTGCGCAGGCTGCAGGCCGTCCTTGACCTTGTCCAGTAGGACACAGAAGTCGGCCTTCCCCAGGTTCCTAGATTCCACACCTGCGTGGCTGCGCCCCCATCCACTGGACTCTGGTTTGTTCCTCCTTTGGTGGAGGGGCTTGAACTCTGGGCCTTCGGCCTTGGACGCTGTCTGCACCCTACCATTTGAGCCACAGCGCCACTTCTGGTTTTCTGGTGGGTTACTGGAGATGAGTCTTACGGACTTTCCCGCCCTAGCTGGCCTTGAACTGCGATCCTCAGATCTCAGCCTCCTGAGTAGCTAGGATTACAGGCGTGAGCCACCAGCGCCCTGCTGGTTTTTTTTCCTGTTTTGGTATTTTTTTTTTATAGTTGTACTCTAGATGATAGAAATTCTACAGCTTTTCAACAATGGAAAAAATACTGCAGGAGAAGGATAGGTTTGGGTGTGGGGAAGTCTGTCTGTACTAGAAGCGAACATATTTGTGCCATCCTTCCTTCCTTCACTAGCGCTCTGCTCTCCACCACGGGAGCCACACCCCCAGTCTCCTAGCCATCCACCTAGTCTCCACCTGAGTGTCTGGGAATACAGGCGTGAGGCACCATGCCCAGCTTTTCCCCGTTCCTTAGGATTCACAAGGGGTACTCAGTGGCTGGGGTAGTTGGTGGCCCTTGCTGAGGGGGCCAGGTATGGGGTGTGGCGGGACTTGGGGTGCTCACCACCTGCTTCTCTCCACAGGGTCGGGGTGCTGGAGGACTGCTTCACCTTCCTGGGTGTCTTCCTGGCCATCGTCCTGTTTCCCCTGGGCTTCATCTGCTGCTTTGCCTTGAGGAAGCGAAGGTGCCCCAACTGCGGGGCGGTCTTCACTTAAAGGGACAGGCCCTCTTTTCTAATGAAATGTAAATGTCGTGTACAATAGTTTTCTTCGATTCAGCTCCAGGACTGTTTTGTACGGTTGGTGGGGTTGGTGGGGAGGGCGCGGAGGTGTGAGGAGCGAGCCGAGCGGGTCTGCAGGAGGGAAGGGAGCACCCCACCCGGTCCCCATCAGCAACAACTCCAGAAAGCTCTGCTTCTAGTTTTGCAGTCTTCAATTTGGGAATGGTGAGAAATACTGTTTTAAATAAATGCAATTCATACCATGTTGAGCCGCCTCTGCCTGCTGGGCACTGCACGGGGCATGCGCAGGGCACACATGCACGTGCGCACACATAGTGACATGCCAGTCATGGGGCAGCCAGCCTGACCTCAGCCACTGCCATCTTCACAGAAGCTGGTGTCCGCAGGCCTCCGGCCCAGGGAGCAGGTGAGTGATCATGGGGCCCAGTGTGGGGAAACTTGGACGCAAGACTCTGCCCGCTAATAAAGCGACGATGGTGAACCCTCACTTAGCTTAGGGGGGCACCACACACGGCCCACTCATGGGGGCCCACCCGGCTGGACCCCTGGAACTGGCCAGTCCCTGGGAGTGCTGGCGGAGTGTGGGGGCTGCGTGGGGCGGCCCCCTCTCCCAGGCCAGCGTCCAGCTTGTGTTCAATCAAAAGTTGAAAATTGGTAAGTTAAAAAAATTTCACATTTAATATCACGTCTCATAATTTATATTGCTGAAAAGTGATGATCTGCATGCTTAGCCACACACTTACACAGCATTTTAACACCCCGATGCTAGTTAACAGCTCATGCTTTTCGAAGCAAACCCCCATTTCTACAGGTAGTCGCCCAGAGAGCTCCTCACAAAGCACAACATGTGTCCTTTATTCTAGCTGTTAACTAAAGATACAAAAATAAAAGCTACAGGAAGAACTGGAACTCAATTTTTTTTGAATAGAATAATAGGAAGGAAATATTTTGATTGAGCTGGTGGCTAAACTATGATTCATTTATCTTAAAGAGAAATGTATAAACCCAGCCAGGTAAAATGGAGAAAATGCATCTGTCTGTGGGGAAGTGAGCGCCCCCTGGTGGAGCCGTGCATGGAAGGCCCTCTTCGCAGGTGAGCTTCAGCGAATGAGGGGCGCTGAACGGTCATTTGTCACCGTAGGCCGGAGCTTCACAGTAGCAAAGGGGTTCTCTCCACTGTCAGGGAGAAGAAAAATCTACATGAATGACGGTGAGCCCACATCCTGCAACCCTCTGTCATACGCAAGTGTGTAGCATTTCCTTTGTTCTTTTTGGTGCTGGGGTTTGGACTCGGGGCCTCATGACTGCAGACAAGCACTACCACTAAAGCCATACCCACAGCCCTTTCTGCTTTAGTTTTCAGAGAGGGTCTTGGTGGAAATCTGGGCTGGCCTCAGACCATGATCCTCCTACCTCTGCCTCTGGCATAGCTGGGATCCTCTGCTCATTGATTGAGATAGCTTTTGCCCAGACTGGCTGGCCTTAAATTGAAATCCTCCCAGGTAGCCTGGATTGCAAGTGTAAGCTACCACACAGAGCCCTAGTCCTCACACTGTTTGCTAACCACAATGATCCTCTCATGCTGTCCTTCTGGGTAGGGAGCAAGCCAAAGTTTTGAGCAGAAGTCCAAGGGCACACACATCCACACCTCTTTAGTCCTGGTGTGGGCAGGGCCAAGGGGGAGGCTGGATCCAAAGGGGGGCACTCACCAGGATCTGCTCCCAGGAATGTCTAAAGAGGGTGGCACATACCTGAGGAAAGGCGGCTTGGCAGTCCCATTTGCATCACTCTGTGGGAGGAATGAAGCCGAAGGTTAGGGAAGGGCTTCCTTGAGTTGGGATTATAGGCGAGCACCACCATGCCCAGCCTGAAATCAAGGCCTTTTAAATAAACCCATGGGTAAAGACAGAAAACTCTGGATTGTTTAGATACTCATTTTGCAGAGCCTTCTGGATTCCTGTGAGAGGGAGGAGGGGCGAGAAGAGCATCGGAGGGGCAGTCCTGTGGCACCTGGAGCTCACATCTAAGCAGTGGGGTCGTGTGGAAGCAGCACCGGAGACTCGGGGCTCAGGGGCACCTCTGCACCTCTGGAGCGACTGCACTTGATTTTGGGGAACTGGCAGTGAAAATCCAGTTGGGGGGGTGGGGGTTTGATCCTGACTGCCCAGCTGTCTCCTAGGGAGTTCACAAAGCATGAGAAGGTAGAAGCAAATAAAAAGCCACAGCTGCCCTCCAATTCAGGGGCCACTCTGTCCTGGCAGGTGCCAGGAGCACTGGGGCCACCCATAGGGCTGTGGAGGGGGAGCTGGTGGGGACGTGGCAGATGGCTGGTGGGCCTCCCCTCCTGCACACTTCCAGGCAGGGCTTGGCCCAACGCCAAAAGCCTGCAGTGGAATTTCATTTTCTGCCAGCAGGGGACAGCATAGCACCATGAGGTGTAACCAGGGCTGGGGAGGGGGTTAGGAATCTTGGGCAGTGCAGAGGGGCTCCTGGGGCTCAGCCGCAGGGCAGGCAAGCAGGGTGCAGTGTGGGTCCTGAGCAGACGGCCAGGGGCTGCTCAGCACATTCAGATGGAGCTGCAGACCCACTTCCTCCTGCAGGGGACGCTGTGCTCCCCCAGCCCAGATCTAACTTTTTACTGTCTGATGATTTAGGGCTGATCTGTGTTTTTTTCCCCTTTGGGCAGTACTGGGTTTCAGTTCTGGCCCTGTGAAGCTGGTGCTCCAACCACTTGAATTCAACCCCCACCTCTTTTTGCTGTCGTTATTTTTCAGTGAGAGTTTTGTTTGTTTGCCTGGAGCAAGCCCAGAGGTCTTCCTACATATTGCCACCAGGCCCAACTTTTGGTTCAGATTGTGTGTGGGGGGGGGGGGGGGGGGGAGTGGTTTCCTTGTCAACTTTTCTGATTTTTAAAACACAAGGAGGCCTGCTGACTTCCTGCCCAGGGCTAGCATGACGATGGCTCAACCCTGGAAGGAGCCTTGGCCTCTACTCCAGAGGCCAACAGGAAGGGCAACCTTGGTCTACCACACAGAGCACCTCCTCCGCGCGCACTCCCCCCGCCCGTTGCCCTCCTGTGTCAGGAACCAGAGCCCCCCCGGAGGTGCGGGAAGCAGGGGCGCAGGCCACCAACATTCCTAAAGCCTACTGCTCCCCCAGGTCAGCGGGAGAGACCCCACAGCGAATGTGGAAAGTGGTGAGAAGCCACAGCGGAGTGAGGAGCAAAGGAACCCCTAAGTAACCCCAGGTCAAATGGGGGCCAACCCTGCACCCCAAATCCCACACCAGCAGGTAGATTGCAAGCACGTGGTGACCAGGAAAGCCTTGTCGTTTAACTGCCCCAAATGTCCAGCCAAAGGGGAATGCAGTTTTACCCAGATGCTGGCCACCTGTGCGCCAGGGCAGCGAATGGATGGGGGAACGACTGGAGGGTGAGGTAGTGCTGCATGCCTGTAGTCCAAGCACTTTGGAGGCTGAGGCCAGAGGATTTTGAGTTGCAAGCCAGCCTAAGCTACACATCAAGGCCTTATCCCTCCAAAAACCAAAAAATAGCTTTGTGCTTTTCTACCTGTGGTATTGAGATGTTTATACACAACAGTCACTTGAGGCTGACACGTGGTGTGGCTCAGTGACCTTGCTGGTGTGAAGGTGACAACACAGGAGAAACTGCCCTCCTTCCCTTCCTCAGGGGACCCTGGAGGTCAGAGCCACATGTCCTGCTGGAGGCCAGGAGGCCCAAGTGACTGCAGCCTCTGGCAGCTGGCCTCCCGGCCTCCCAAGGCTGTTTCTACGACTCCGATTGGAAGCTTTGTTTGCAAAGGCTGGCGTCCTTGGAGGAAACGTGCTCTGTGCTGGGAGCTGTGGAAGGGAAAGTGAGCAGAGAAGAGGGAGCAGAGCCCATCCTCCCCCTCAGGCCTGAGGCCTCTGGTGACTTTCACTGCTAGTGCTGCTTGCACTGTCCTGACATCGGAGCAGAGCTCATCAGACCTGAAGGAAAGACTCCCGGAGGTGGAGTGTGGCTCGCAGCCCGCTGGGCCTCCACCAAAGACATGCACAGCTGCTCGGCCTGCTGCAGGACCCCGGAAGCAGCTGTGATCCTTTGTGCCCCCATTTCTCCACCCAGGAGGGGTGGGCGGTGCCAGGCCCATCACGGGCACAGAGGACGCCAGGGAGCCACCCGTGCCTGTGTGTGGCCCGCGGGAGGGGAAGCTGAAACATCACGCTGTTTCCACAGGTTTCTGTGTGTTCGAGGAAAGACGGTAAAATGATGACAGCAGAGCCAGGCACTGGTGCTCACGCCTGTAATCCTAGCAATTCAGGAGGCTGAGATCTGAGGATCATGGTTTGAAATCAGCCCAGGCAGAAAGTCCCCATAAGACTCATTTCCAACTAAGCACTCAAAAACTGGAAATGGTGCTGTGGCTCTGAGGCCCAGAGTTCAAGCCCCACAACCAATTAAATAAATGAAATAAAAGCTGGTTTTTTTTTTTTGGGGGGGGGGAAGGGAGGGAGTCTTTTGTGTGGCTTCAATCTAGGACCTGGCACTGTCCCTGAGCTCTTTTGCTCAGTTTTCTGGGGTTTATTGGAGACAAGAGTCTCACAGACATTCCGCCCAGGCTGGCTTCAAACCACGATCTTCAGATCTCAGCCTGGGTAGCTAGGATTGAGTCATTGGCACCACCCAACTTAATTTTTTTAAATTTTTGTCAGGAGTGAACTCGGCCTGAGCGCTGGTCCCTCAGCTCTTCAGCTCCAGGCAAGCACCCTACCACATGAGCCACAGTGCCACTTCGGGTTTTCTGGTAGTCAACTGGAGATAAAGAGTTTCACAGACTTTCCTGCCTGGGCTGGCTTTGAACTGCAATCCTCAGATCTCAGTTTCCTGAGTATCTAGGATTACAGGTGTGAGCCACTGGCGCCAGGCTTAATGCTTTTTTTACTAGCACTCTATTTATATCCAAAGTGGGAAGCTGCTCTCCAGTGGCTTTATGCATCCTGAACTAACTTTCTGTGTAAGACAACAGTTCATCTAAGGCCCTGCTTAGTTCTTCAGAAGCCCAACACTCATGGCTCTGTCTCTCCACTTCAGAAAAGGATTTTTTTTTTCTCTTTTAAATGCTGGCCCGTTTCAAGATGTAGAGTGGGAACTGTGTAAATTGTTGAAAAATGGCTCTTAAAATATGCACACGAGAGAAAAGTCACCACTCCAGGGGTCCGGGCAGGACAGTGCTTGTTCTGGGCTGGCTGTGGCTGGCTGTGGCTAGCCACTAGTCCTGAATTGGTCCTAATCACCCCACCACCCCCACTGCATAGGACCATCGGGCAGCCTCCCAGCCGCCCCCGGGGCTCGGAGGGCACAGCCCAGAGCCCTGGCTTCGTGGGCAGTGGATCTGTGACGCTCACCAGCCGCTCTGCACACCTACTTTACCTTTTGTCACACTTGCCACAGCTGCCAGGAAGCGGCTGACAACTTCCTTCTCCATAGCAGTGGTGAACAGGCGACTTCGCCACACCAACGCCATGCTCTAGGTCCTCTCTCGGATGGCAGAGTGGGTGCAGTCTGAGCTCCGGCCTGCCCTGCCTTCTGTCCTCCTCCCACTACATCATCTACACTTAATGAAACCCCACAACTAGATGTCCTGTCACCAACTTGAGGGCTAGCCTCAAACCACGATCCTCCTGACCTCAGCCTCCCAAGGAGCTAAGATTCCAGGTGTGAGCCCCTGGTACCTGGCTATCTTGGTTGCTCTGTATGGGCCCACCCCCCATGGATCTTTTTTTTTTTTTTTTTTTTTTGGTCGGTCTTGGGGCTTTAACTCTGGGCCTGGACACTGTCCCTGCGCTCTTCAGCTCAAGGCTAGCACTCTTCCACTTGAGCCACAGCGCCACTTCCGGATTTCTAGTGGTTTATTGGAGATAAGAGTCTCACGGACTTTCCTGCCTGGGCTGGCTTTGAACCACGATCCTCAGATCTCAGCCTCCTGAGTAGCTAGGATTAGAGGCGTGAGCTACCAGCGCCTGGCTTACCCTCATGGATCTTATTAACATAAGGACTGCCACACCAACTGCATGCTGACACAAGCAAATGCTGTGAGGTGAGAGCTTTTCGCCCTTAGGAAGCAATCGAAGCGCCTGCAAGGAGTGGGGAGGGGCAGGTGACCGCCAGGGGGTGCAGAGGCCGTGTGGTCACTCACAGGCGTGGCGCTGTCCGGTCTGGACGGGGCTCTGAAGGTGGAGGTGTTCTTGGCAGGGTCCGGCGTGGGCTGGCACTGCAGGTAGTCAGGAGGCGGGATGGCCACGCTGCCCTTCTCGGTCAGGTCCACCGTGCTGACGCTCCTCACCGGGGCCGCGCTCCAAGCCAAGGCACGGAGTCAAATCAGAGAAGGGTCCCCCCAACCTGGGCCCCCAGCGCCCCATAGCACAGACACTGCTATACGGCATCTGCCCAACTGAAGCTTATACTCAAAGGCAACTCTTTCAAGGACAGGACTAAGGACGGGGGCGGCTCTTAAGCAATGTCATCTAAGCAGATTAAATCTGGAAAATCAGGAAAAGGGAGGTGGCAGCAAGCTCCTGAGCCAACACACACCAAGCACTTGGAAAAAAATGGAAAAACTCAGGTTTTGGGTTATTTTCCCCTTTTTGTTTTCTGTTTTTTTGTGAGATGGGCCTAGGCTGGCCTTTAACTTGAGATCCTCCTGCCTCAGCCTCTCCAGTGCTGGGATTACAAGTATGTGCTACCATGCCTAACAAAACTCAGAGTTTCAGCATTCTAAAAATGACACTTTTAAGGTCTGGGCACAGGGGCATTTAAGCTGTTCTGCTAGGGCTACACACGGGGCAGTCCTGGAAGGTTCCCAGGCTCTTGGGGGTCCACAGGAGAGCCATTAGAACCCACACACAAACTATCCACACTGAGGCCTAAATGGCTCTTCCTGGAGCAGGTTCCTGGACACTGCTGGACTTTGGTTTTCTCATTTTACGAGTGGGGGGTCTATGGCAAGATGAGTGCTGCCCCCAGGGTGTGGGGCTACATCTGGGGGGTGCTGCCCTCTGCTGTGGGTTACATCTGGGGTGGGTGCTGCTTGGGGTGTGGGTTAGTGGGGCGTTGGGGTCGGGCAGCCTTGCTACCTGGGCGCAGGCGCAGTGGTGGCCTCCTCGGCGCTGTCCTCCAGCAGCTTGGTGTACGAGGACGGGAACCACCCCCTCCTGTGAGTGCGACAGAGAAGTGTGCCTGGCTCACATGAGGCTGCCTGGCACAGGGGGCTGTGTGCACCCACCCCACCCACCACTCCATTTCCCCTCGGGGACTTGGCTCCCATGTCAGGCCAGCAGCCGGGCCAGTTAGGCACATGATCTCACTGAAGTGACTTGGCGCTGACATCTTTCGCCTTGTCTGGTGCGGGAACGGCACCTAGTGCCTCATATGTGCTGAACACACGCAAGTCCTTTTGTTTCTATTTTATTTTTGAGGCAGGGTGTTGCCACTTTGTCTGGACTGGCCTCCAACAAAGATCCTCCTGACGCTACCTCCAGAGTAGCTGGGAGTAGTAGCTGGGATTGCAGGTGTGCACTGGCCACGCCCAGCCCTTGTCTTCAATCTGAAAACACATCTGATGCAGACGAGCGAGGCCAGGTGCAAGGACTCAAGCCATTGCTGGTAGCTACTTGGGAGGTAGAGGCCAGGGCATTAAACAGTTTGAGGCCAGCTTGGAGCAAATCAATGACTGGGCATGTCACCCCAGCTACCTGGGAAAGTACAAATGGGAGGATTGTGGCCCAGGCAGGACTGGGCATAAAGCAAGACCCTCTACCAAGAAATAACCAATGCCAAGAGGGCTGACAACGTGGCTCAAGTGTCATGCCTAGCAAGCACCAGGCCTGAGTTCAAAACCCCAGTACCACAAGGAAAAAAACCCCAAAAAACCACAAACCAAAACTCCCCCAGATTATTATTCCTGAGAAACAGGTCCTTTTTAAAAACAAAGGAACAGGGCTGGGAAGGTGGCTTAGTGGTAGAGCGCTTGCCTTGCATGCCTGAGGCCCTGGGTTGGATTCCTCAGCACCACATAAGCAAAAAGAAAAAAGCCGGAAGTGGCGCTGTGGCTCAAGTGGTAGAGCGCTAGCCTTGAGCTGAAGAGCTGAGGGACAGCCCCCAGGCCCAGAGTTCAGGCCTGACAAATAAAAAATAAAAACAAAGGAACGTTCACATCTCTGTGGGGGGTGACAACCGCCTGGCTTCAGTGCAGCGGCAGACACTAGCAAACCAGACTCCAGCTAAAGTGCTCCTGCACCCAGTGACGGCGGGCAGCTCTGGGAGCCCGCCGACGCACACCCTGACTCACGCTCTGGTGGTGTCGTGCTCCCCGTAGAGCCAGCCATCCTTCTCCTCAGGGACAAGCAGCGTGATGACGTCTCCCTGCGCGAAACTCAGCAGAGTCTTGTTGGTGCCAGCCGTGTGAGGGAAGATGGTCTTCACCTTCTGCTTCTTCATCAGGTTCAGGCCAGTGGCGACGGACACCGACCGCTGTAAGCTGGGGTCCTCAGATGAGTCTGTTACAGGGGCGTGGCCTTGAGCAGTCAGAGGTGTGGCTTTTGAGGGTCGGGGGGCGTGGCCCTGAGTGGTCAGGGACTGGCCGGAGGACAGGCCCAGGCCCCCTCTGTCCAGTCTTGCCCATGTGGGGCGGGGCCTGCAGGGCAGTCAGGGCCTGGTACACACTGTGTTCTGTCACTGCTCTACCACCAGCAGCCCTGGCGCCAGCAACCACCCACCTCACCGCTCCGCAGCACCCACCAGTTTACCAGTGCCCTGACTGGTGGGGAAACTGAGAGCAGAAGAATCCTGAATTGGCCCGGATCACACAGAGCAAGCGGTGCCAGGCCTGTCTAGAGGAAGCCAGCCCACAGCCCACACTACGGGGCTGTGTGCAGACTGTCCTTCATCAACTGGGGCTCCTGCTGCCCTCTGGCCAATTCTTCACCATGCCAACATGGTTTTGCCATCTCCTTACTACTCCTGTCTCTCCCTCTTTTTTGGCTTATTGAAAAGACTCGGTGGTTTGAACAATGGTGCTGCACGGGCACTGCCGACTCAACTCCTCTAGAAGCAAAAGACCCCAGTCCTCATTGCCAGCGTGGAAATGGCTCTGTCTGAACCCACAGTCGAGTGGCCCCATAGTCACGTCTGAGACACACAAAGGCCAGTCAAGTCTCAGGGGCCCTGAGTGCTAAAGACGGCATGGGGTGAGCGGGCCTGCTAAGAGAAACGGCACCAAGCTTTTGCCACCATAACCAGCCCTGCTTGGTTGAAAGGGAAGCAGTGAAGTTTCCAGAAAGCACAAGGCGCCGTGTCGGAGAGGGTGAGTGTGGAGAGTTCTATGATGCCTGTGGGTAAGATTAATAACCAAGATTTTGGGCTGGGAAGGTGGCTTAGTGGTAGAGTGCTCGCCTCGCATGCATGAAACCTTGGGTTCGATTCCCCAGTACCACATAAACAGGGAAAGCCGGAAGCAGCGCTGTGGCTCAAGTGGTAGAGTGCTAGCCTTGGGCAAAAGAAGCTCAGGGACAGTGCCCAGGCCCTGAGTTCAAGGTCAGGACTGGCAAAACAAAACAAAAAAACACCACCAAGATTTTGTCATGCAAACTTTTATAGCTGGCTTTACTAAAAACAAGACAAAACAAAACACCACCACCACACAGTGCAAAGCTAGGTTATGTACATGCAAACCCATCATCATTATTATTCTTTTTTGTTGGTTTCTTGAGACAGAGTCTCAAGAAGGCCAACTCAGGTTGGCCTTAACATTTGATCCTCCTGCCTTAAAGCCTCATGGGTGTTGGATTTACAGCTATGCACTGCCACACCCTGCTCAATAACATTTCTCAATAGCACATCTACCCTATGTAAGCAGCCATCAGTAGGTAGAGTATCTTAAGGTCCATACCTTCCCCCTCCCCCCCCCCCCCCCCCCCCCCATAACTAGAGTTGGCTCCAGGGCCCAGCTCTCAGCCCTACCTTATCAGCCTTGAGGTATAAGCTATTTGAAGCTCAGACCAATCTACCATGTTTGGTTACCTAGCTGTCAGGATATGCTGGCTATTTATTTTACAAATTCCTTTTAAAATTTTATGAAGGTGCCATACAAGAAATCAAAGGAAATGTCTTACCTTTTGAGTGATTTGTCCTTTCTAACGTCTGCGCCCCTGTGGCTGGATTATTGAACATATCAATCAGGGGGCTGGTGTAGGCTTTGGCTGAGGGAGCGGGGGGCATCTTTGGTGAGTATTTTGAAAGCGTGTCATAGTCCTTCCCGACCTGGAAGAAGCCTTGGTTAGTTTGATGGCAGAATACCCCACTGTCACCAGTGGGTGACAGATTGAGGGGGGGGAGTGTTATATGCATCTTTTCAGTCCCACTGTCTCCCCCAAATTCTGCCACTTGTAGGACAATGCTCCCATTTAAATTATTTCAATAGTGTCCTTCACTGTCAAAAGAAAAAAAGCTGGGCGCCGGTGGCTCATGCTTGCCATCCTAGCTACACAGGAGGATGAGATCTGAGGCTCATAGTTCAAAGCCAGCCTGGGCAGGAAAGTCTAATCTCCAATTAACCACCAGAAAACTGGAAGTAGCACTGGGGCTCCAAGTGGTAAAGCATTAGCCTTGAGCAAAGAGCTCAGAGACAGCGCCGAGGCCCTGAGTTCAAGCCCCACGATTGATGAACAAAGAAAAAAGAAGAAACAGCTACTCCTCCTCACCTTCATTAATCAACTTTCTGTCCCTCAGGGCTCTGGCTCCCCTGAGGAGAGACGGGAGCGGAGTCTACCCTGCAGGTGGCTTCCCACAGCACCGCCAATGACTCTCTTAATCACCCTCTCCCCTTCTGAATGCATGTTCTTTTGCAAACTCTTCTCTAGCTTTCTATCAACTAGATAGAATCTCTGGCAGGGCGCCTCGTGCTTTCTGGAAACTTCATTCACTGCTTCCCTTTCAACCAAGCAGGGCCGGTTACAGTGGCAAAAATTTTGTGCTGTTTCTCTAACCAGGCCCGCTCATCGCAGGCAGTCTTTAGCACTCAGGGCCCCTGGGACCTAACTGGTCTTTGTGTGTGTCTCAACCCCAGTCCATGAAGGGCAGGTCCCCTGGCTGCTAGACCTTGGCCCTAAGTCCAAGGACAATGTGGAGGGTGAGGGGCAGACACAGGTGACACGGGCTGCCCAGGCGGCAGTGAGGGCTTCCTCTTGCTGGGTGGGGATTCCTCAGGCGGTATTGGCATGGTTTGGGTGAGGGGATTGAACCCCCAGGGTCCAGCCTGTCTTCTGTGTATTCATCTCTCTTCTCATCTTCTGAACCCCTTTTCCTTCTTCCTTTTTGTTGGTTTGGAGCTTGAACTCGGTGCTTGGGCACTGGCCCTGTGCTCCTCAGCTCAAGGTGAGCACTCTACCTCCTTCTGGTTTTCTGGTGGTTAACTGGAGATAAGAGTCTCGTGGAGGGGCTGGGAAGGTGGCTCAGTAGTAGAGTGCTTTACCTTGCATACATGAGGCTCTGGGTTCAATTCCTCAGCACCACATAAACAGAAAAAGCCAGAGGTGGCGCTGTGGCTCTACTGGTAGAGCGCTTGCCTTGAGCTGAAGAGCTGAGGGACAGTGCCCAGGCCCAGAGTTCAAGCTCCACAACCGACAAAAAAAAAAGTCTCATGGATGTTCCTGCCTGGGCTGGCTTTGAACCACAATTCTCAGATCTCAGCCTCCTGAGTAGCTAGGATTACAGGCGTGAGCCACCAGTGCCTGGCTTGAACCCCTTTTCTTATGGCAGTGTTGGGACAGTCCTTTCGCCTAGTTCTGAGTCCCTTTTTACTAATGACTCATGGACCACTACTGCTGTTTTGGAGGGAGGGGTGAAAAGGATAATCCCATGTAAAAAAAATTGTGTGTGGGGGGGGGGGGGAAGAGGTGTGGCTCATGTGGTAAAGTACTTGCTGAACAAGTACAAGGCCTTGAGCTCAAACCCCTATATCTTCCCCATCTTCCCCATGTATGGAAGCAGGATGGAGTGGCATAGAAATCCCCCCATCTGCTTGGGCACCAAGTAATTCATAGGCCTTCCAATATCCCCCTCCCCCTCCCCACTGCCTCTTCAAACCCCGAGGCAAATCCCATAGCCCATCACCCCACCTACAGAGAATCCACTTTTCACTGTTGCCTCCAGCCCAGGCCATGTGGGCCTTTGTGCCCGTGTGTGTGCGGAAGGCTGGCCCTGGCAGTGCGGGATGGTCCTGGATGCACTCTAGGGCATCATGCCAGGCTATTCTGGCCGGGGATGGGGGGGCAGGGGGGGGGGCTGCTGCCTGTCGCTTGGCACAGGAAGATGGGGGGAGACACATGTCCTCCCACTCCACACCTGCCGGCTCTGCACCTTGTCCTGCTTAGCTTTGGGCCTGCAGCAGACCCCATGGGCAGGCAGCTGGGTTTTAAAGCTGTTCCCATCATTCCAGTGCCCTTAGGTAGACAGGCAGGATGGACTCAGGTACCCAAACTGCCAGCCAGCTCCAGCTTTCCCTGTACATTTGTGAAAATAAAGCTATAAAGCCCAGCTCACGGCTGGCGCTCTACTGTAGAGTCCCGCCTCCAGACAACACCTCTGTCATTGCTGGAAAACTCATGTGCGTGGCTTGCTTCAGCTCTGAAGACAAGGGGGGTGGCCATGGGAAGTGGTGGGCTTGGAAGTAAGAACGAGGCCTGTGGTCTCCACCAATGGGGGCAGCCCTCTGCCTCTGCTCAGAGCCCATCTGGCCCCAACACACAACCAGGGCACCGTGCAACTGAGGAGAGGGAAGGGGCACCTACCACGTTGCTTCTCTCGATCATGGGCGACGGCTGGGGCGTCATGGATGTGGGGGTGGAGATCGGGGTCCTTATCTCTTCGATCATGTTCATGATTTTCTCTGGCACTTTGGTGGCATCACAGCAGGTTTCATGCCACCTGGGCAGTTTGGAACTCAGTAATTCTGCAGACTATAAATCCAAAAGAAGCAAAACCAATGGCAAAGGCGCCTGGTGACAGATTGCATGGACGGTGCATTACTGCTTGTTTCAGAAGGGAAGGGGCTGAATTTGATCCACGGAGTGGAATACTGAGATCAGGGGTCATAGTGATTAAGGATATGTTCAGGCAGGGTGTGGTGGTGCCAACACTTGGGAGGCTGAGGCAGAAGGATCCCAAGTTGTGGCCTGCCTGGCCTACATAGTGAAGCACTGTGTCAACAGTGAAACAAGGAGAAAAACAAACAAACAAACCAAAAGAAACATGAGTCAGTGGAGACACAGCTCACCCTCAGAGCACAGAAGAAGACAAAACAACAACAACAAAAACCCCAGTAACTCTCTACTCCCTACCACCAAAAAATAAAAAAAAAATAAAAAATTCAAAAGCCAAATAAGAAAGGTCAGGGGCGGAATCTTTGATCTCAGGGAAACTGGCAGGCTCGCGTGTCTGTGTATGTGCGTGCGTGCATGCATGCGTGGTTAGGCCCAACGACACTCTGGGAAGTGGGTTCCGAGGCCATGCTCCAGGTGAGCATGAGGACACACTGCGGGACCTTCAGGCCTTTGCAGAACAGCTGGGCTGCAGCTCAAGACATAAGTGGGCAGAGCCTGGAGATCCAGGTGCCTTCCCTTACCCTCCCAGGTCAGCAGTCTGTCTGGGAAGGAGAAGCTGGAACTTTCTGGAAGCTTCATGCATGGCAACTTTGCTGTTCTGATCAGATCTGCATCAGCAGGACACATATCGGGGAGAGCACAGCCACCCCCCCTCCCCCCACATCTGGACCAGCGCTGGGCCTGTAGGAGCTCGGGGCTTTGGCTGCCAAGAGGGAGGGGATAAATGATTACTGGGACTCAAGGTCAAGTCTAAGAATGCCGTGGCCAATAGCCAGCACTCTCTGAAAGCACTCCAGGTGCCTTCTGACATAGTGGGGTGCTGCCTTGGAGAAGAGAGCCTCAAGGCTGTGCAAGGCCCTCACCATGGAAACAAAGTGTAATGTTACACATGGTGCTTATTCATATTAGGTAGCCAACAGAACCTTTGCAGAGTATACAACAAATGTGTGCAGATATGCAAGGCCCTGAAAGAAGAAGCTGTGGTCAAGCTTCTCGGATGATGCAGAACACTCTAGATCACTTCTCCGTGAGCCATGGAGAGTACCTGACCTGAACTAGTGCTGGTTTTGGACAGCTGCACAGGCATAAGAGAATTCATCATTTAAAAGAAGTGCATTAGTCTCTGGCATCCCCATCGCTGACGTGTCAGAGGGACCTCCTCCTGTCAGCCCTCTGCAGCAGGGACAGGAAGGACTCCTGGAACACAGTGTCCTGACGCCTGAGAAGGGGCAGGGCTGCTGGTGACCTGCTCCACAGCAGTAGCAGGACAGTGGCTTGGACCACTCGAGCTGGCCCTAGGAAGGACATCAATTCTGTAGATGCATTGTAGATACATAAGATAGATGACTCAGAGAGGAAGAGTGGACTTTTCTGCCCACGCTGGCCACAATCCTCAGATCTCAGCCTCCTGAGTAGCTAAGATGACAGGCCTGAGCCACTAGTGCCCAGCCTGAGCATTTGTTTTACAAGAGGATTTTCAAAATGGATGCAGTTCTACATCCCACACTACAAGCAGGCACCTGTCCATTTCCCAGGAGGTCTATGGGCTCTGTACTGGGGTAAAAGCTCCCTCTGGAATGGCCTGGCTGGAGCAGGAGGCCCGAGCCTGCGCCCACCTTCACATGATAGTGGTGGATGTGGTCCGTGAAGCTACAGTGCTTATCCACCAGGAAGCAGAAGCGCCGCTTCTCCTCCAGCAGGGCCTCTCTGCAGCCATCAGCGATGAACTTCTGGATGTCGCTCTGGCGGGAGGTGACTGTCTCCACATACTAGGAGAGAAAGCGGAGGTGTGGCAGTAACAGGGTGCATCCTGTCCCTGCCCAGCCCCATGCTCATCTTCTGCCATCTTTATGCTGTTTTATTTTAATAATGGAGGCAGAGCAGAGCTGTCACCTGACCTGCGCATGCAGCCCTCCTTATAAGACCCTACGTGCCGGCCTGCAAGTGGCGTGGATTGTACCGCAAAGCTCTGTGAACTTGGCAAGGTGAAGGTTCAAACCCTGGGTCTACATGCCAGTCACAGGGCGTAACCTAGGCTGACCCTTCCAATGCTGATCACAGAGTCCCTTCTTCTTGCTCCAGGGAAAACCTTGCAGCATGCAGCTCTCTTTTTTTTTTTTCTTTTTTTTTTGTCCGGTCATGGAGCCTGAACTCTGGGCCTGGGCGCTGTCCCTCAGCTCTTCAGCTCAAGGCTAGCGCTCTATCACTTGAGCCACAGCGCCACTTCCGGCTTTTTCCTTTTTGCTTATGTGGTGCTGAGGAATCGAACCCAGGGCCTCAGGTATGCAAGACAAGTGCTCTGCCACTGAGCTACCTTCCCAGCCCCGAGCATGCAGCTCTTATGAGGCCAGAATGCATTCATTCATTCACTCATGACAATGTCTCATGGAATACTGCCTCAAACTTGAGACCCTCCTGCCTCAGACTCCTGAGTGGGGCTGGGTTCACAAGCACGCACCACCATACCGGGCTCAGAATGCTGAGTGTGTATTTGTACACGCATGCTCGAGCTGCTCTCCTGAGACTTGAACTCAGAGCCTGGGTAATAGCCCTGAGCTTTGTTCAAGGTGAGCCCTCTACCACTTGAGCCACAGGTCTACTTCTGACTTTTTTTTTTGCCAGTTCTGGGACTTGAACTCAGGGCCTGAGTACTGTCCCTGAGCCTCTTAGTGCTCAAGGCTAGCACTCTATCACTTGGCTTTTTCTAAGTAGTTTATTGGAGAGTTTCACAGTTTCCTGCCTGCGCTGGCTTCAAACCGTGATCCTCAGATCTCAGCTTCCTGAGTAGCCAGGATTACAGGCGTGAGCTATACGAGTGTCCGGGTGTAATGCTTTTTAAGTCAGTAACAGCACAATGTTGAGTGGAGACAGCAAGGGGCAGGCCACCCTTTAAATCATATGACTAGGGGTCAAAAGCAGTGGGGGGAGGGAAGTACCTCAATTTCTTTGTGCTCATATTTTAGGGCATTGCGGCCCCCTTGACTTTTCCTCCGTATCTTCTTCAGCTCGGCCTGGGACTTCTCCAGGGAATCCAACTTGCTCTTGTGTTCTGTTTGGTAGCGTTTGAGCGTGGCCTGCGAGTCAAGTGTGGGCTTTCCTTCACTGCAGCACCTAGTAGCCGCCACGCACGCGGCCACCATGACCGTGGCTTGCTCTGCATGGGCGCCCAGCACTCACAGGCCTGCTGCTGAGGGCCCGGGGGGCAGGGATGGCTCTGGAGTAATGAGGACCAAGGACTCACATATTGGGGTGTTGGGGGACATTGGAAAGTAAGCTTTCTAGGGGAGATGGAAAGCACTTGTGTGACAAGGCTGGAAGACCAGGGGAACGGAGACCCCAAAACCGGCTAAATGGACACGGGAAGTGGGGCAGGCTGGGGGCGGGAATGGCTGTCCTAATAGGCATGTATCAGCTGACAACACTGCTTTCTAGGAACACAGTTATTTCTGAAACTATTCTGTTCTTGTGCCTTTTCTTTTTTAAAATGGTTTGGAGCCAGGGTCTTGCTATGAAGTCCTGGCTGGGTTCAAACTCTCAATCCGCCTGCCTCAGCCTCCTGAGTGCTGGGATTACAGGCGTGCACCACCCCACCCCACCGGTTCCTCTAGTTTTTAATACAGATCTCAAGTGGTAGCAGAAAGAGGCCCCTCAGTTCCACAACCCTCCTCCCCCGCTTCCCTCCCGCCCCTAGGACTGAACCGAGGGATGGCCGTGGAGCGGACCAGGCCGCACGCACGTTCATGTACTTCACATCCAGCTCCGTCTTCTTCTCCAGCTCATGGATGATCTCCTTATGGAACTTTCGGAACTGTTCATGAAATAAAAAAATATATATATCCCCACCAGGTTGGAGGCTTTTGGCGCGATCAGCGCAAAGCGCGGTGCCATTGTGCTTGGCGCGCAGTGGGCACGTACGTTCTCTTCGAGGCTCTCGTTGAGCTTCTTGTGGGTGCTGGCAATCTCGATGAGGACGTGGCCTGCGAAGGAGACAGATACGTTAGGAGGCGCCATGCGCTGGGGACAGGCTCTGTGAGGCAGGTGCTCTCCCACACAGCCACCCCTGGTCACCACATAGGAGTTGAAAAGTAACAGGAGGGAACATGGTCTGACAGGGTGTGGGGGAGGGGGGAGGTAGGAGGGGGACACTAGCACTACTTGGCCCCCATGGCTGCTTCTAGGAAGAGGGCAGGGAACCACCTTTGCCACCATCAATAACGCCTTGGCTGGCTTCCCCACGCTCCGCCTCCCGCTGCTTTAATTCTGAAATTCTCTTGCCAAAGATCACCTCGACCATCACAGCCACCAACTTTAGGAACAAGAGATTTATTTTTATCTGATTTCCCCAGAGTAATCAGAGTATATGCTAGCCATGAGAGAAAAAGATGTTTCTCATTTTAGTTCATGGATTGTTCTGGAACTATGAATGCCAGGGGAAACTGCAACAGGAACAGTGGTTTTTGGCTTGGGTCCCCTGGGAGGAGGCCACTTCTCTGAAATGGGAGGGGTGGGGGGACAAGAGTCATATGACCGAAAAGAGGGTTCCAGGACAAAAGGGGGCCATTCCCAGAAAATGCCAGAGCACTGCTGTGCAATACCTGCCTCTCTTGCAAAGTGGTAGCCTTGCCTACTAAACAGGGAAGTACATTTCAATAACAGTAACAGCTGTGCATGACAGCTCATGCCCAAATTCAGGAGGCAGAGATTAAGAGGTTCGAGGTCAGCCAGGGCAGAAAGTCAGTGAGACCTCCGTCTTAGTCAACAAGCTAGGTGTGGTGGTTCACAGCTGAGAAGAGGGAAGAAGATCACAGTTTGAGGCCAGCCCCAGGAGAAAATGCAAATATATTTTTTAAAAAAAGAGCTAAAGCAAAAAACAGCTGGGATTGTAGCTCAAGCAGTAGAGCAACCACAAGACCCTGAGATTAAAACCCCAGCACCAAGTCCGGCACCAGTGCTCACACTTGTAATCCTAGCTATTCAGGAGGCTGAGATCTGAGGATCACGTTCAAAGCCAGCCCGGGCAGGAAACTCCAGAGACTCTTATCTCCAATTAACTACCAGAAAACTGGAAGTTGCGCTGTGGCTCAAGTGGTAGAGCACTCACCTTGAACTGAAGAGCTCAGGGACAGTGCCCAGGCCCAGAGTTCAAGTCCCATGACCAACCAAAAAAGAAAACCAACAGTCCCGCATGGCAACAAAACCAAAACCCCAACAAAAGAATGTGCTGCTGGGTCATCTGATAGTTCACTGGCCAGAGAGAAAGGATTCTTATGGCAAACCAAACAGCTGTAGGTGAGGGAGGGAGACAAGTGCGGGCCAGCAGCTGGCCTCAGCTGTCCCTTCTGTATAAGAGCCGTCGCATTCTAGGACAACTCGGAGACAGCTGGCTCATAGCCTGCCGGCCCAGACCTTCCCACACAAAGCCATCAGATACGCCACAAGGCCACGCCCACCAGCCACCCACATCCTCCAATCCCAGCTCCTTTTTGGCTGCCAGCTAGTCATGAGGGGCGATTTGTCATCAGTGCCACACCCACAGGGAAGACTCATTGCACAGATGCTACCATGTGCCACCTTTAGGGCACATGTGACGTCATGGGCATGTGCGCACCAAGTCTCTCCCAGTCCCTGTCCTGCCAGCTGGGCTCTGAGGAGCCCCGTTCTCTGCCCTCTGCCACCTGGCTCATGTCCTTACCATCTTCTCTCCTGCTCACCTGGTGGTAAGCTGGATACACCAGTATCTAAGGGCAGTCAGAGCCACTAGAACCCTGAGCATTGTGGCACAAAGAACCCACTCTGAAGACAGGATGTCCAGTGACATAATCTATTCCCTGTGTGCTGCACAACACTGACAGGACAACAAGATGGACAAACGAGAGGATGGGGCAGAACCTCCCCAGGACCCACCCACCCTCCCCAAACACCCCAACTCACTATGAAAACTGAGACTTCTTCACAACGAGCAGCCTTTCTACCTCAAGTATACAATCAGATTAATGTTACTTGATATTGTTGAGTCATTTCTCAGTGAGCTCTTCAGGGTTCTTTTATAGCTATTTAAAACTCATATGTAATTCTTTGTTGAAGATGAAAAAATAAACCAAATCCGCTTAACTGTTAGTATTTCTTCGATTCTTGGCAAGTCAGATCTCCGTAAGAAAACAAATCTACAAATGATTTGGCTAATGCTGGGTGCCAGTGCTCACCTCTTGTAATCCTAGCTACTTAGGAGGCTGAGATCTTAGGATCATAGTTCAAAACTAGCCAGGGCAGGGGCTGGGAAGGTGGCTCAGTGGTAGAGCACTTGCCTTGCATGCATGAGGCCCTGGGTTCAATTCCTCAGCACCACATAAGTAAAAAAAAGAAAAAAAGCCGGAAGTGGCGCTGTGGCTCAGGTGGTAGAGCGCTAGCCTTGAGATGAAGAGCTGAGGGACAGCACCCAGGCCCAGAGTTCAGGCCCCACAACCAGACCCCCCCAAAACAAAACAAAAAAAAAAACACAAAAAACTAGCCAGGGCAGTAAAGTCTGTGAGACTCAAATCTTCAACCAACCAGTAAAAGGTCAGAATTGGGCTTGACCTCAGAACCAGGGTGCTATCCCATAGCTTTTTCACATAGGTTGGTACTATATTACTTGAGCCACAGTGCCACTTCTGGCTTTTTGTCATTAATTGGAGGTCTCACACATTTCCCTGTTCAGGCTGGTTTCGAGCCATGATCCTCAGATCTCAATCTCCTGAGTGACTAGTATTATAGGCATCAGCCATCAGTGCTTGGCATGAATTATATATATATATATATTTTTTTTTTTTTTTGGGTCCAGTCCTGGGGCCTGAACTCTGGGCCTGGGCGCTGTCCCTCAGCTCTTCAGCTCAAGGCTAGCGCTCTACCACTTGAGCCACAGTGCCACTTCCGGCTTTCTTCTTTTTGCTTATGTGGTGCTGAGGAATCGAACCCAGGGCCTCAGGCATGCAAGGCAAGCGCTCTACCACTGGGCCATCTTCCCAGCCCATGAATTATATTCTTAAGTGGAATATTAAAGGCATTTTTTATTATTATTATTTTTGGTTAGGACTGGGGATGGAACACAGGGCCTCATTTAAGCTCGACAAATTCTGGGTCACTAAGCTACAATCTAACCCAAAGGAATTTATGTTAAATATATACATTTCAAATTCATGTGCTCAACGTAACTAAAAGATATCTATTATCAATTCTTCTGAAAATTCATAGAAACCCACCCTCCTCTGGCTCAAAGCAGTATTAGAGCTGGGAATGTGGTTCAGTGGTAGAGTGCTTGCCTAGCATGCATGAAGACCTGGGTTCGATTCCTCAGTACCACATACACAAAAAAAGCTGAAAGTGGTGCTGTGGCTCAAGTGGTAGAGTACTATAGCCTTGTGCAAGAGCAGCTCAGGGACAGTGCCCAGGCCCTGAGTTCAAGCCCCAGGACTGGCAAAAAAAAAAAGTAGGATTAACTCTAATAACATCTAGGAACTATGAGTACATATATTCCATGCTTTCTCCAATTCCATGCAAGGGCAAGCTTGTGCCAGCCAAAAGGCACATATAGGAGGTAAAACAGGTGGCAAAGCCGAAAGAATATACCTGGCATGAACACACAGTTGGTGTTTGAACCTTTTGTGTGCTTTTTTCAGGGCCCGCGCTGGGCAGACGCCGCACCACGGCGCTGCATCCCGGCCACCTGACCCAGACGGAACCGAGCAGCGGGAGACAGGCAGCGCCCGGGACGGCTACGGGAACACACTATTTCCCAGAAGCACCAAGTCACGTGTGACCCGCAGTGTCCTCAAAAAGACCACATGACGCAGGGCGAGCCCACCCGCGGCTGGCCTAAAGCCACCCAGAACGGACCAGGCAAATGGACCTCGGCGTCCCTGGAGACAGGATGGAAGTTTCCAGCAATCCTCCAGATAGCAGAAGTGAGGCTGAGGGAAGACAAAGAGGCGAGCAGAGGACGTGGATCCTGCCAACGCGCCTGCGCTGGGGCCGAGGAGCAACAGACGGGTGACGGCGGCGAAGGCTCCGCCCTGCGCTGTGCGCACGTGCGCATGACATCAGCACGCAGCATGTGGTGCGTGTGCGGACGTCGTCAGCGCGGTGTTCTTACGGCATGACCTCAGCGTGTGGCCCGCTTTTGCAGGGATGACGTCAGCATGTGGTGCCCGCATCTCCGGGCACATTACTCGAAAGCCTCGCACAGCCAGGCGCAGGTGGCTCACGCCTGTCATCCTAGCTACTCAGGAGGCTGAGATCTGAGGATGGGAGTTCAAAGCCAGCCTGGGCAGGAAACTCCGTGAAACTCTATCTCCAATAAAAACCACTAGGAAACCAGAAGTAGCACTGTGGCTCAAGTGGTAGAGTGCTCGCCTTGAGCTGAAGAGCTGTGGGACAGCGCCCAGGCCCAGAGTTCAAGCCCCATTGACCAACAATAAATAAATAAGTGAGAGTCTTGCACAGGGCACCTGGTTATCCTACAGCCGGGCTAAAATTAAATGTATGTCGAGGAGACCTGACACACGTTAGTCAGCTAGTCAGCATCAACACGGTCGTTTCTGGCCCGAGTAGAAAATGGTGAAGGTCAGTAATGAGTTACAAATGACTAGAGAGCCTAGGAATCCAGCAGTGAGAGACCCAGGAAGAAAATGCAGCACCAGGCAGGGATGCCCTTGCCACAGGTGCAGCATCAAGCGCCTTCGTGCGTGAAGAGACTGGCATGGTGTGGGAACATCGCCATTGGGTAGCCATCGAGTAATGCTCGGTGGCGGCAAAACTCATTGACAGATGCCAGATCTAGAATGCCCAATGCCCATCCTGATGTGGAACAGGTATTGAGGCAGTCTGGAATTCTCCCCCACACACAGGACTTGATGATACATGTGTGAACAATAGGAACTCTGCATGGTAGAAAGCATAGAATGTCTTCAACACACAAATTTACACATGGGGGGGGGCGCGG